TTTAGGTGTTGGCGCTCAAAAAAAAAGTCAAGGGAATGGGAGTTCATTTGCAAGTGGTCAACCGGTTAGATTCAAAATGGCCCGGTTGTCCACTTGAGGGGGAGTGTAAGAGTACATCCCACATCGGAAATCTAAGAGTAAAATAATCGGTATATAAGCTCTAGAGTTGAACTAACTAATCGATTGGATTCAATCTTTTAAAGTGGTTCAACCCAAGTGTCTTATTACCGAATCCAGTTATCCATATCCCATCCTAAATTCTATCAACATCTCATAATTGTCGCCCGACTTCTATCTCCTTTTAGATCCACATCTCCCTCATCGATCCACCCAGTTCTCATTTGGGCTCAGCGGCCAACTATAATTTGGATCTACCATTGCATAAAGTGTTTTTGTACAGTTTATATTTTGATTGGTGATGCTTTGTTTGGTTATCAAGTAAAATATTGTCCAAAGATTACAAAACGAAAGCTAGAAATAATTATAAGAAAAAGATGGGGATCTTAATTTTGACTTCTTCATCATTGGAATTAAGATAAGAAATGTTGTACTTTGTAGAGGTAAATACAGTGTTTCTTGACATATCATTATCCTTTAGACATTATACATTGATATAGTTGACATTATAAAGTAAAAAGTGTATCATTTTGCAGTGTCATATTTGTCATTGTAATTTCATCTGACAATGTATTGAAAGTCATTGTGACGCAGGGAAAATGGCCAACTTTGGTGGTGTTAGTGTCAACAACAATGCAGATGGTGGCAGCACCTTTTGGCAATGGTTACGGGCAATTGTGGCAATGAAGTGGCAACACAAAAGGCATCAACGACGATGGTAGGGACAACATCAACGACATGAATGGAAGGGGCAAATGGCAGAGAGTGCATTTAATTTAGAATTGTTTTATAATTTGAAAATGTATTTAATTTTTTTATAAAAATGAATAAAACTCTTATTTTGAAGTTTTTATTTTTGCACTCTTATTTTTGTGTATTACTCCCCGCGTCTCAAATTATAATGTCTGTTTACTATTCACAGGGTCAAACTTCACTCACTTTCTTTCTCTATTTCCGTTAGCAATTTGATAAAATAAAATATTATTGTCACTACTCACTACTAGTTTTGTAGATATTTTGATATTGTTTTTTAATATGTAATTTTTATTTTTTAATTCTATACCATTTGTCATATAAAATGGTTTAAAAATAATTTTAGTCAAACATCGTAAACCGAAACAGGCGTTATAAAATAGGACGGAGGTAGTAGGATATTAATTTTACCCCTAGCTGAAGCAAGGGGAAGCTTAGATACTAGCTAAAAACAAGAAACGTTGAGAAGAGAAAAATCTAATGTGCACTGGTAGCTGCTAACATTGAAGAAGAAGAGAAAGCTATCAGAGATTATTGTTTGAATAAAGATTTTTGACATTTTTTGTCTTTCTCTAAAGACTGGACAATGCCTTGTTTCTTTTTCTTAATTGTGAAAATTTGTATGACTTTCTTGAAGAGGTAAGTTAACAAGACATTCTTTTCTTTTTTTCTATTTTCCCTCTTGGCTTTGCTTTGAATTTTTTTTGGTACTATAGAAGAAAAAAATAAGAGAAGGGAGATTTATATCAAGAGTTGGCGACTTGAAAAAGAAAAAAAGAGGAGGAATATGCTTGGGCATGAATTTGAGATATTGTCATATTGATGGTGATTAGCAACTCTTGTTGGAAGAACAAGTATCGACAATTGAGAAAGGAATAAAGAATGTGATTGGTGATTATGGTCATAGCCAGAGAAGAAAAAAAAGATCACCTGTAATGATGGCTAAGGTTTAGGGGATAGAGGAAGAAATAGTTGTGAGGCCACCGTAACGAGATAAGTTACATTACAGACAGTTCAACGAATTCTCTAGCGACTCAATGAGTTTCACATAGTGAAACGAATGGTCGTACCCGACTCTCGTTGGTCGTACGTGAGTTGAACTATGTTCAACGATTCGTTGTTCGTTGTTTCACATAGTGTTGAACATAGTGAAACGAAATGAGGTGACAGAAGCACAAAACTTTTTTTAAGGTCACCAAAAATGATAACTCTAATACTCCCTCCGTCCCAAATTATAATGTCTGTTTACTATTCACAGGGTTAAACTTCATTCACTCGCTTTCTCTATTTTCGTTAGCAATTTGATAAAATAAAACATTATTGTCACTACTAATTTTGTAGATCTCTTGATGTAAATTTTTTAATATATACTCCCTCCGTCCCAGAGTATTTGTCCACTTTCATTTTTGCACACCATCCAATGCACTTCTTTAATCCATTTTATCTTGTAATTTGTATATTAAAAAATTATAGAAATTATATATTAATAATCTATATGTTAAGACAAATCAAACAAGATCACACATGACTATATTTCGGTTTACACATTGAGAAAATTTGATGAGTCAAAGTGCTTAGATGAACAGTTCCAAAAGTCAAAAGTGGACGAATATAGCGGGACGGAGGTAGTAATTTTTATTTTTTAATTCTATACCATTTGTCATATAAAATGGTTTGAAAATAATTTCAGTCAAATATCGTAAACCGAAACAGGCGTTATAAATTAGAACAGAGGTAATACCATATTAAAATGATAGAATAATAATATTAGTCATTGAATTGAAGAGTACATGAAAGAGTATAAATAAAAAAAATATTACTAACATAAATAGAAATAGAGAATAAAAACTAATTAAAATAGTATATCAACTATAAATAAGTATACCTAACTAATAATCAAATACTACCATAACCAATACTATTATAAATAATACTATTATCTAATGTATATATATTTAAAAATTAAACTAGATTAAAAAATAAAAATTATATATTTAAAAACCACATAAAAATTTTATGAAAGAAGATAACATTAAATATGCTCCCTCCATCCCCCTATATTTCAAATTAATCAATTGAGTCAAAGCACAGACGAAATGTGTAGTGTGTGCCATCAAATGTATAGAGTGTGAACCACCAAATAACATAACATATATTGCATGTACTCCGTATAAGCTAGCCATTTTTTTAAAAAAGAAAAAGGTCTAAATTTAGTTAAACAAATGACATATTCATGAAAACGAGGATCACCAAGACGAGAAAAACTACACACCAAAACCAAGAGAGTATAAAACTGATAGGGGCATAGTGCAATGCATTGTGTGGAGTGAGAGAGTATCGCAGAGCAAATCGCTCAATGGTAACAAAAACACAAATTATTCAAATTGGTAATAATAATGGAACTAAATGGGGACATAAACTCCTCCCAGTCCCAAAAGCCAGCCTAGCCTTTTTTTCATTCAAGACACCTTAACACTCCGCAAACCTGCCAGTTGGAAATAATACACACTAGAGTCAGTTCATGAAAGTAGCTGACAAAGATAAAGTATCTATGGAAAACCAATGCTTACCCAAGCTCAGAGAGCTTCAAATGGGCTTCAGCATAGTCGGCAAAGAAAGCATCCTCATCCTACACAAAAAACAGTCAATTCAATGCCCGATCACAAATCACAACGGACAGTTAAAATTTGGAGCTTTGGAAACTCGAAATTCAATTGATTATGTACCGCAGCATATTTCTCCACAAGGGGGCGGAAAACGGGGTCTTCCAGAAGAACCTTATCTGTGGGAAGCTGGAGGAGACCTTCCTTCTCCCCAGAAAGAAGTTCCCTGCATTTCAGGATAGCAAAATCAGAAGTTAAAATCTACTCCCCTTGCTCTTACTTAAGATAAGAAGGATCAGCAAAGCAGACTTTTAACTTACTTGAAGTATGAGTTGTCAAATATGAGAGGGTTGGAAGTCCATGGACCCTCAAATCCAGAGCGTTCCTTGTGGCACCTTCCCTAAAATTGAACAAACCCGGTCATTAAAATAAAAACATAGGAAGCCGTGAACACAGATGTCGATTTTCTATGATATTTACCAGTGTGTGGCCACCAGATAGAGCAACAATGTCCTTGTCACTCAGCCCCATTTGCACTCCAAAGACAGTCCTAAGGTGATCGGAGCCTGAAATAGTAGCATACTTTAAATGTACTTGACCTACGCTTCAAAGATTAAACTACCATAAATAAAGAACGAGTGAATAAACGCAAACCTTTGGTAGCATCAGGCAAACGACCTTCAGGAGGAGGGGTTGCCTTATCCTGAAAAGCCAACAACAATGTTAGTGTATAAGGAGCAAAGAATAACAAACAATATGAACACAAATTGCAACGTGAATCCTATAAAATCTGAAGGGAAATCGTGTTCTATACCGGCCTCCCAGCATGGAAAGGAACTTCAGGGCCACCAGTAATCTCAACAGCTACAACTCCAGCCAACTTCAATTCATATAAAATTGAAGAAAAAAAATTGTGAGTAAGATTATAAGACCACAAACAAAGAATTGAAGAAGAACCAGAAGTCCACCTGATAGAAGTCAGCATACGAGAGGATGGGGAAATGCTCCTTAAGTGGTTCCAACAGCCTGACAGCAATGTCAAGGCCATTGTTGGCTCCATGTTTAAGCTCTTCGGGGTGCTTCATTGTGCCAAAAGGACCTCCGGTTTTACTTTTCACATCATATGTTCCAGCTGAATGCCATCTGGAAGACAGCTTACAATCACTCAGACATTATCCAATACAACACCAATGGTCATGAATGCAAGTAAAACTCAAGTCTCAATGAGTCAATGACAACAGCAATCAGTGAATTGTTAACACAATACAAAATACAGTTGAATCACCATAACTTAAGATATGCTATAATAGAGACAAGACTATGCTACAAGTCAAAACCAGTAGAATGTTAATACGGAGGATATCACTCACACCTTCATGGTCAATACAGACAATCAATACAAAAGTTAACCACCAACAAAACAGGAATAGGAATAATAGGCTACAAGACAAGATCAAAAGATACATAAGACAGCACATTGATCCCTTCCACTATAGGGATAAGACATCTTGTTATTCATTAATCAAACATTGCAACAAAACCTCCATTCAACTAAACGATCCTACCCCTAGCAAAAGTTTTATACTACTATGTAAAAAGTCAAATCATATCCAGGAACAGATATTCGTATATAATTCAATTGAAGATTTGACAAAACAAAATAATAAATGTATAAGGTCAAACTATAATTCTATCATTAGATTTTGATTGATTATTTAACAAAATAAAATAATCATAGTCGCATACTAGTATTTTATAGATTTTTTTTGTAATTTTAGATATATATCATATTTTATTTAATTACACCAACTTTCAAATAAATTCTATTGAAAATAAGAATCAAGAATTTTTGAAGGAGTACTCCTTATAATCCATATCCATATTCCTACATCTTGGAGTTTACGGTATTTAACTTCAGCTTCTCCAAAAGTGAAGAATAAACCTCCTTTCGCTTTGGAAGGCAAAGTCAACTATAACATGAAACGATACGATAGGACAATCAGAAGCACACAAAAACTAGATCTCAAAAAGACGTGCATAGTAACATACCAGCAAACAAGATAAACACCATAATCAAATCATCAACAAAGCTAAATTGCAAAACAATTCACAAAACAGATAGAACACAAACGGCACAAAACGTACTAGCATAGAAAAGTTACAGATACGAACAGATTACATCGATCGACATGGTGGAACAAATATCAACATATCAGTGAGAGACTGAGAGTGCGAGAGTTTACGCTAGGCGAAGCATGAGAGGAGCACACTGTTTCTCGGCAATCAATCCTCTGAGCTTCTTCTTGCATTTCTCCACGGCTTTCTGATACTCTCCACTCACAGTTGGATACGATTTCCCCATCGCCGATTAGCTTCAACTACAGAATCCCGATCTCAAAGCTGAAAATCGCAGATTTCCATTTCAAAAAATGCCAAATTCAAACAAATATGAGAAACAGCAGGGAAAAAAAGGAACTAAATCGGATAAATCAAAGGAAACGACTTCTCACCACAGACGAAAGAGGAAGAAACCAGTAGACGAACGATCAGACAATGCGGTGGGAGGAATTGAAGAGAGGAAGAGGAAAATATATATAGCTTGAGAAGGGCCGGAAGATTCTAGGCGCTTTGCATTTACACTGCCTTGCTGAAATGAACGGCTCAGATCTAATCGTGAAGAGCAGCCAGTTTGGGGTTGATGGGCCGGTAATGGCACGGAGTAATGGGTAATGAAAAGTCGTCAGAGCGATCACTGGCCAATAACAATCCTCCACGTGTACAAAGCTTTTGGGTATATTCGATTCAAATACCAGTACTTAGGGCTGAGCATGGTACGGTATTTAGCCCGTACCGATACCGTACCAAATATTTTGGTTCGGTATGGGATTTTACACCGTACCGATCCCGATCCCGACATATCGGTTCGGTATGGTTCGGGATGGTTCGGTATCGGTTTCGGTACAAATCGGGATGAATATACATACCTACTTTACACCTTAAAGTTTAACAATGTCCCTTTATTTTTGAAAATTAAAAGTGAATTTAAATAAAAAAAACGTGAAAAATTAAAAAAATGAATATTTAAATGCAAGGGATGCATATCAAAACATAGTTTATATTTCACAAACTAAAAAAATAAACGACAACAAAGGGTTTTTCGAATCTTTGTGAATACTTTTATGTTTATACACAAAAACTAAAACTCAAATAAAAGTATAACTTACACATGATAAAACTTCAACCAATTTTTTTTTAAAAATTACTCCGTATTATTTAGTGAAGGAATATGAAAAATATTATTCCGGGTTATTATTTTTTATAATATTTTAGTATATATGTTCGGTTCGGGATTTTCGGTATGGTACGTCACCTCGTACCGTTCCCAAATACCGTACCGACCATTCGGTTCGGTACGGTTCGGTTTCTTCTCGGTACTTTTTCGGTTCGGTATTTTTCGGTTCGGTATTCTCGGTTTTTTCGGGAAATTTCGGTATCGGTTCGGTACTTGCTCACCCCTA